AGCCTGTATCACAGAAAGTTGTACATGAGATATTGTGGTAATTTGCCTGGCTGCACCCCAGGCTAAACTTGTTTTGGCTGTTTTCCCATTAAAGATCATATGATGTTCCGGAATAAATTCCCCCTTTGTCTTGTGAATGAAACAGTACAGTTTTCTAGGGTAACATCACGTGCTCTATCAAAAGATAGGCTCTTTTGACATTCCTTTACTGCTTATAGAGCAATACCATGTTCATATCAAATGCCAACATTTTAATCTAATTTTCTTTGGTAGGACTGTGCAGGTGTGATTCTATATGCAGCTGAGAATGCCACACAGGTCGCGTTAGATGCTATTCAAATTCTAGGTAATTAATTAACTAGAAACCGTTCGGTGAATACTGACTTTGGATAAAATTACGAGCCGCGGGAGTCGTGCCACATACGGGATTTACAAAACAAGGTTGCGTTAGGCCTGTTAACACGCAACATGCACAAATTTTGTTGCAAAAAGTAGAACCACTCTCTACTTCTGCAACATTTTTCGCAGCCTGCCACAACCTGAATTGTTTCAAGGTTTTTTTTCAGGTTTGGTTATTAGAGTTAAAACGCGCAACATCGCTATTCAACTCGTTTTTCAGCAATGTAAGCTTCCATTCCTCCCGGGTTGAATGATATTTAGGGTAAACTTTAACGAGCTTCCGCACACTTTTGCACTTAGATTATTGCAATCAAGGTAACTGCAAAGTCAGAGTTTTTACAAAGACTTTCCCGGGCAAGTCTTGGGACTTTACAGTTCTTGAATTCGCCCTGCTTAGAAGTCTGTGCTCCCCACCAAGCCTTGGGAAAGCCCAAAGTGGAGGCGGGCATCTTAGTTGTATGTAGCGTTGATAATAATTCTTATTTTGGTCTCGTCCTTTCACGCAGGTGGAAATGGTTACATAAATGATTATCCTACAGGAAGGTTTCTTCGAGATGCTAAATTGTATGAAATTGGTGCTGGTACAAGTGAAATAAGAAGATGGTTAATAGGCGAGAAAATCAACTCTGAGTTTCTTTAACATTATCTACAATACTCCTCTGTGATCTGACACTATTCATCTTCCACGGAAATCTTGGACGTTTGAAGTGAATATTTCCTTAATCAGCTGGCATTCCAGCTTCACGATATGATAACAAGGAAAGTTTGGTGGCCAATAAGTAACCTTTTAATGGCTACTAATGAACATATGGGGGGAGGAATGGGGGAGTATTTGAGGGGTTGGAAACTGAGGCGGAGATAGGAGATATGAATAGGAGAATAAAGTAGCAAGGCTGTGCTCTAGCAGAGCCCGGTGGTCCGTGGCGCCTAACTTTTGTTCTCGGGCGACTAGAAAATCTTTGCTTTTTCATAGACATCATATGCTGGGCACACTGGATTTCACAAGTTCAGAGCACTGGGCTCCCTTCAATTTTTGTTAGGGCACAGCCTTGAGTGGTAGGAACTAAAAGAGAACCTTACAGTATGTTGGGCTTCGGTGTCGTGCAATGTGTGTTCACCGCGAGTTCACGTGTCGAAATGTTTACACGGATCATTTTTATCTACTTCCCGCCGAGGAAAAAGGATAAATGGTCCGTCATGAAAAAAAGTCAACTTCCATTCCTCGCGGGTTAAATTATGTTGAGGGTAAACTTTTCCGTAAACTTTTGCACTTAGATAATTGCAGTCAAGGTAGCTGCAAAGCCAGAGTTTTACAAAGACTGTCCAGGGCAAATCTTGGGACTTTACATTTCTTTACTTACTACCGGGAAAACTTGTTGTTCAGATCTATATATTTATTTAATAGTAGTCATGGCTTATAACTATCATTATTACTGGTGAAGTAAGTTATTTAACATTAACACTTGGCGGTTAATATATGAAATATGTAATTGTTGCGAATTATCGCATCAAAACTTGAATTTTAAACTAAATATCCTGGAAGAAGTGCCTTCTTATATGAAATATAACTTGTTCCGAATAAGCCTGGCTGACGTAATTGAGAGTTGCGTCGAGTGTGCCATAAAAGATGTAATGTATCTTAACAAATACCAAGGATTTTAACAGTCGTAATTGTTGTGAATATTTTTTTAAGGTACAATTGCGTTCTAATATGCTACGCTCAGGAACACGTTCCTTACTCTGTAAGTAACGTTTTCCTGTTAGCAGTCGTATGGCTTTCGTTTTTTTTTTCTTTTCATGGAAAGACTTGCACCTGTAAACGAGGCTTCGCTTCCGAAATATTTGAAAAAAAAAAATTTTAATTTTAAAATTTTTTATGAGCTACCCAGAAGCAAAATTTCAACCATGGTACAATTGCGTTCTAATATGCTACGATCAGGAACACGTTCCTTACTCTGTAAGTAACGTTTTCCTGTTAGCAGTCGTATGGCTTTCGTTTTTTTTTTCTTTTCATGGAAAGACTTGCACCTGTAAACAAGGCTTCGCTTCCGAAACATTTGAGATCCTTGCTTTTTCTGGCCACAGGAAAGTCAAATTATGGAGAGAGAAAGATCCTAGTACCAGGAAGATCATAGAAGGAGGATCATCCTGGTGCCTTATGTTTTCTCTATTCAGTTTACATGCAAAGGGTTGTACTTGTCCTTATTGCTAGGAACTTCTTAGTTTTAGGATTTTCGTAGCTGAGAGGTAGGAAGATCGTAGCACCATGTAAACTGCCTTCGCTAGGAAAATGCAAGCACTAGGGACAAACCAGGCAAAAATGGCGGTGGGTCGTTCAGTGGATAATCACGGCAATAAAGGCTGACCATTTCGTTTGGCATTACCACGAGCTGATTATTGTCATAATTTTGCTGAAATTATACTTAAATTAACAACAGGAAAGAGAGCAGAACTGCCCAAATTGCATTCTTGTTTTTCTCGCCCGCCATTTTTAATTCCTTCTAGAACTGTCTCTACTGAGGTACCAAACGGACCGAAACTTCCGCCTTCGATTCTAGGATCTTCCTCACTCCATGTAAATAGCTCCCCAGAGTGAGCGCCTCAAGGTCTCCTAAGATGGAGGTTTCCTAATTAATAAACAAAGTCCCGCGGTTCACTCTCTCGCCCTCACTGGCGTTTGTAAAAATCGTACTTGGCTCCTTCACGTGGAGGAATATAACAAAAGAACATATTATTTATCCTGATTCGATAGGTGTTTTCTTTTAACTTATTCGCTAATCCTCGGAGCTTAAAGATACAGTCGAACCCTCTTAATACGGACACCTCATTATTACGGACATTTTTCCTTTGTCCCTGAGGAAAGAAAGTCCTTACATTTTCTCTAAATTCAACCCGCTTAATAAGGACACCCATAAAGGAGGACAACGGACACTTTTTTCTTGCCCAATCAACAAATTTTAATAGAAAGTGAACCTCGCTAGAGCACACACTTCATTACCAGTTATGTGCTGTAGTGGATTTATCCTTTTTTATAGTATAAAAAAAATTCTGTTGACAGCATGTCGATGTTCCGAGCGCTACAGTACACCGGATACGATGATTTGTATACGTCAATTTCACTGATTATTTTGGCACCAAACGAGTTCAGTAGAGAAATGATATTTGCGTATTTCCGTGGATTCGGTCCGCGGAATGGCGGCTTTGCGATTTTCAGAGATATTTAATTTGAGGATGCTAATGTCGTCTATTATTTCTTTAGTATTTAGCTCCAACAAAAAAGGTTTTCATGACCCGAGACACCTTCTATGGCCTCTTCAGTGTCCGTACCAGTAACGGGGTTTGACTGTTTTAAAACTGGTCCATTTCACGAGGTAGTCGTACATTGACAGTAAGGAAGTGTACATAGAAAAGAGTGTTCTGCAAGAGCAGAGTTTTTGGCTTGTAATTAAAATAACGTTCTCGTGACCAACTCCGTCTTGGTTTCTTAGCGCCCGTTTTCGGCTTGGCTTTGCCGTCGCAGATGCAAAAAATCCTTTGCCTGACGAGGCAAATGTTAGGTTATACTACTCAAAAAGAACCAACTGGAGTAACGTATTTACTCGATTACGCGCCGCCCTCGTTTAAGCGCCGCAGATGGGAGCAGAATTACCGATGAACGCAAACCCTCAAATAATCGCCGCACCCAATTAGAATTAGGGTGTGGTGTTTATTCCAGGACCAATAAACTGTAATAACAAAACAGTAAAGAACAGAGACTCGAGTATCCCCGATATTTCGAACGGTCAAGCCGTTCTTCTTGGAGGGATTTATTGAAGAAACGGAAAGTTGTCACAAATATTTTTTTTCTATTATTGACAACAAATTAACAACATTAACACACAGCACAAAGTAAAAGAAGAAATAAATAAATAAATCAGTAAGTAACAAAAACAAATTACAATAAAAAGTATTGAAAGATAAAAAGCCTGTCAGTTGCCACACATATTCAATATTGTTTGCCATAACTTTCAATGCGATATGGTTCATAAAGCTTACGTAAAAATTCACCTAAATTAGGTTTCGTTACAATGTTCTTGCAAGCATACAAGTATTTCTTTTGCAGTAAAACCAGTGAGACGAAGTTTGCTTTGAGTTGAATTTGGCATTTTCATTGGAAGGGAGTCATCGAACGTGTTCAATAAAATTTGCTTGTTTAAAAGTTGTATGTTCTCTTTATGCTACAAATATATAAATTTTTTTAAAAAGTTAAAAAGCAGTACAGTTGGAAATTTGCTGCGAATAAAAATGTAAAATTTAAAATGAATAGGTCAATGGGAATAAACTAAACAATAAGGTAATTATTGCCTTAACAGGTGTTTAAACATCTTTCTTTCACAAATGATTTATTGTAACTGTTACCAGCGATTTAAGAAATGTGATTTTGAAATTAACGCCACATTGAAAAAGATAAAAACGATTAATAAACGCCGAGGCGTTTATAATCGGATAAATAACGGCCAGAAAAGAGAAGACCCTGGGAACGAAGACTTATTTTTACTTATTGCCATAGTAACATATTCTAAATATTTTTTTGTGAGTGGACACTTGTTCAGGAGACCAATTTACGAAAATTTTAATTTTTTCAAGAGACTGGCAAGGTTATCCACACAACTCTTCGTGTTCGTTGCTTTTCTTGCTCGGAAATTAAAAAGTTTATAACCTGGAACCCAGAAACTGCGAATGTCTTTGCAAGCCACACTACTCTGAATCCTTTCTAAAATGCCCTTGATTCTTTCTCCTAGTTGATCTTTCGTCCAATATGAATCTTCCGGAAATTGAGTCCATTCGTGTAAGAACATTGTTTTTAATACGTACGAATGAAACACCCATGTTATGCTGAAAGATCCCTCGTCGGGCTGTTCAAGGAGAAGCAAGGAATCTTCATTTTCCTTCCGCAATACCTTGAGAACCTTAAGCGTCGCCTTGTGAACGAGGTTCGGACTCTTGAAGATGTGTTTGAGTATAACTCCTTCGGGTATTGAAAAAGATAAACGCCAACAGGGCCGATGCTTCCCAGACTCTCCAATGGTAGAAGCCACAAGATGATAACCCTCCGCGACAGCCTTTCTGAATGCTTCATAGCCAGGGTGCCCCCTGTTCACTCGTGTCGATATGTCTGATGCGTCGGGCCATCCTGACATTTTGATGCACAAAGTTAAATCGACGGCTATTTCAAAGTTCGAGTACTCCTTGCCATGCCATGTAACCTTGATCGTTATCGGGATTTTTCTGAGCTGAATATCGACATATTCATCTAACTCATCCCTGGAAGACCGCTTTCGCTTATCTATGGCTTCCTCGATGAGTTGTTTGAATCTTTTCAAGAGAACATCGGGTTTGAGATTTCCTCGCTTGGAAATGTAGCTTTTCCACCGATTGCGATAAACTGCGTTGGACACCTGAACATCTACGTAGCCGGGATCGTGGACCGGTCTCATGGGAATATCCTTCGTAACACAAACACCAGGAGAGGAAAGCTGCTCTAAACAAATCATAAAATCGAATTCGTCGGGCCCTTCGACTTTAAGATCTTCATAAAAACTTCCGCTGGGGATTACAAAGTTTTTAAAAAGTGGATCCTTGCGCCCTATATAGACAGAGATTTCGTCAACTAAACTTCTAATTCTTTTCTCGATTTTCTTTACCTCCTTGTGCTCTATATCAAACTCCGCTTTTTTGTAAAGGCGTTGTAATTCATCGTCCCCGAAGTTGCGCTTCATTTTGAGTCACGTACAAACTTAAGGTAACGATCGCTTCCGGGTATATATTGTTGAGCCGGCAGTTAATTTTACAAGCAGCCGTTGCAAATAGCCAGAAGCTACTTGAAGTAACAGGCATTTGGCCGTGACACAAGCACCCAGCCGCCGTCGTTATGGCTTGATCAATAGATTGAGCAATAGCACAGGGTCCAGAGGAGTTTCGTGTAAATAAATGAATTACTTATTTAAAGTTTCGCCTTGAAAAATGTCTATACTTGTCGCTTAGAACGATTAATTAACCCAATAGGATCTTTATGAACCTACTGTAGACGACTTCTTCGCTTCTCAGTCTGTTGGTTTGCGGTATATAGAATGTGTAACGAAACTGTAACGCGATTCCAATAACCCATTTTTTCAGAGGTTTTCGACGGGTTTTGATGTTCTAACGACAAACACATCTCCTCTGGACCCTGTGTCAATAGAGAGCTTTCATTAGTCTCGTACCCAAGCCAATTTGCGCTATCCAAGTGACCAGAGGCGGCTTGAAACCGAGCGCGAAATTTCCACGACAAGCTTGACAGGAGACGTCATGCACATCCCGAAATCGCCAAGGACGACTGGTAACGAGGTTAGAGAGCTTTAGATTCTCAGACGAGGATGACTGCAAGAACGAGACTTTCCCAATTCTAAGTAGTGCCTGCGCGCACGCGCACGAACCAACGTCATTTTGGCGGGAAAACGTGATAGCCATCGTCTTTTTACTACGAGTTTTAGCGAGAATGTCGTAGTGGCGAAAACAAATTATCAAATGTTTAAAACGAATTTTATCATTTAGCGATCGGGAGAAGGCTTTACATCCTTCAACGGAAATTAGCGTACTAGCTTTTGGGGTGAAAAAATTACAATGAAGCTTCCCGGGATGTCTATTTTTAGAGAATAGGCGAGAAAACGTAAAATATATGTTGTCCTCGTCTTCGAATCCAAAGCTCTCTAATTTTAGACGTACCTTTTGGCCTACCTATGCCAGGTATTTGTCAGGCATGCGTCATTAATTCCTCAGTAATAATGTAGAAAAGGTTTCATTTAGTTGGACGAGCAGTTTAATACCTTAAAACCATAGGGCCGGTTATTAAAACAAGGTTTAACTTAGACCGCGGTTTAGGAAATCTTTGGACGTATAGATCTCTTCCTTAGTAGGGCATTTTAAGAGGGTGCGCATAGGGTTTACAGTTAATTGATAATTGGCAAAAAAATTAGCAGTTAACTGATAGTTGGCCAAAAAATAGTAGTTAACTGAGAATTAGCCAAAACATTAGTAGTTAACTGATAATTGGGTACCCCATTGGAACCCTCGAATAGTTGCTGAACAATTTCAATTTGCTCGTTGTCTGTGCTGAAGTTCATGTCAAGAGATTTCCTTGGGCGTTTTTGAAATACCATTATTTTTGTTTTCTTCGGATTAATTTTTAACATCCATGTTTCGCAATAAGAATGAAGCGTGTTTAAATAGTTTTGCAATCAAGTAGTAGTAGGTGGTGGTGGTGGTGGTGGTGGTGGTGGTGGTGGTGGTGGTAGTAGTAGTAGTAGTAGTAGTAGTAGTAGTAGTAGTAGTAGTAGTTTTGAGTAGTAGGCCTTTCAGAGACAAAATCCATGTGCTAAGAATCTTTGCAGGCAACACATTAAAGTAAAATTACAATCAGTTAAGCAAAATGAGTTTTTCTATGTCTAGTTTGATTAATTTGACTGAGACACCTCTTCCAGACTTTCTTCATCAAAATGCGCAAATGGAACGATGCGTTGATGACGAGTCACCTTTCTGCAGTAGGTCTTGGACGTCTCCACATAACTAAATGGATCTTTCCTGAATTCGCCAAATAAACTTTGGTTCACATATTGGGCAGGTGCCTCCTGTTGGATGATTTTAATAAACTCTTGCCAAGCTTTTCTAGTTCCTCTAAGCGATCTTGGATAACTGCGATGTAATGAGTTCTCAATGGTCACTGGAAAAAAACAGGAACGATTGTCCACGAAATTTCAGCTCCACTGCTGAACAGACATATTTGTCGGTAAGCCACCAGGTCACTCTTTCGTGTGTGGTATCAAGTGGGAAAATGTGGCGAGCGGCGCGCGCGTGAAAAGCGTTAAACACAGGGTCATAGAAGATCGTTGGATTGGCCAGAGAGGTGGTGTTGGTAATTCCACAGTTGGTTTTCATTTTGCTCGAACGTTCTGCCCTTCTTTTCGCAGCTCATAGTCAACAACACCAACTGCTGGTTCATAATCCAAAAGCCATTCTTGGAAAATTCGAATTGGCGAAAAATGTTTCATATCCGGGGTAGCAGCACTGTTAAACTTAAGAGACACATCGTCGTCAGTGAATATGAAGTATGTATAGCCTGGCCTTCTGTTCATTGCAAGAAAAAACAGCTTATTTCGCCCCGAGCCCCAAGTAGTTGTATTGTCAAATAAATACGTTACATGGGGCGGTTTCTCCTTCTGACATTTTCTCTTGTAGCTCAACACTATCACATCGCATCGACATGTCATATCAGTGGACAGCTTCAGATGATAAAACAGCATCGGTGAGAGACAATGTTCTGTCTGTGTAAGAAAAACAAATCTTCGAGAAACAGTTTCTTTTTCCGTCCAATTCGTGTCAGTACGATACTGAAGCAGACCTGTTTGTAGATCGAAGAGATTAGTTCTCAGTATGAAGCAGGAAATAATACATGTCACAACTATGAATATAAAAGCTAAGAAGTGGCCAAAACGTTTTTCCATACTTAACATGGCGGGCGTGCGGTGCAATAGAGTGAAAATTAAGTTTAGACAAAGCAGAGGTGATACTGACATTTAAAACGTTTCCATAGGATTCTGCTAACCGGACGGGCAAGAATTTTACCTCTGTTAAGAACCCCTTAGATCTATTGACTGAAAATAAAGCGTGCCTGAATTTTCCATTGTCGATCTGGCGTCAAATCTCACACCACTAGCCATATATTGCTTGTTTTGACTTTTGTTTGTTAGGGGTAATAAATGGTCAATTAAAATTTTAACTGCTTACAAAATTTAAACGAGTGCTCGCTTGCTCGTGCTCCCCAAATTTTTGCAGTTGTTCGCATGCTCGCTTTCTTGTCAGTATTGCTAGCAATTTTGTAAATTCTTTTTGGGGTTAAATTGAAACCCCGTTTTAAAATATTTTCTGTTTTATTTTAAAGAAAAGAATTTCCAGATGGATTGCTGCAAGCGGAAAAGATAAGAAGTGGTCGCTGCTCGCGAGTTGTACTCTCTAAACTGTTCGCTGCTCGCAAAGCAAAGTTTTTCTCTCTGCTCGTGCTCGTAAAGACCATTCGTCACCCCTTTTGTTTTGACATGTGGAAATAAATGAATTCGGGAACAAACTCTAAACAAAGCAAACAAAATAAATGGTTGAATAAAAATATTAAAATCAACCGTAAATTAATTCTGTAGTAGACAAAAAGATGATCTGCTTTGAGTTCGGAAGTGAAAGAAAGCCGGTCATGTCGTCAGAAAGGTGGGAATGTTTTAAGCTGTAGAGTCGAACTCTAAAACATATATTAAAGTATACCTGCAATCTAACAATAAAATAATTTATTTAAAAAAACCTGAACCCAAGCCGCATATTGAAAAAATTAGTTGCTATTGAGTAATGTTAAAAATTATTTTCCGTTGCCTAGAGTTAGAGAGAACTGAAATGGTCTTTTCTTTAAACAGCTTTGGCACGTAGTTCGAAGAGAACTAACCTCTCATAAGCTCCTATAGTTTCTGTTAGGTCTCCTCGCCACTTCTTTTTTCTACTTTTCCCATATATATATTATTCGTAATTTCTAAAAATAAATAAAATAGATCCGAATTAGTTATTGGAGGAACATTTCGCCAAATGATGTATGACATCTAGGCCCCGGTTGTTCAAACGTTGGATAGGGCTATCCACCGGATAAATCACTATCCAGTGGATAGAAGTATTAGGAAAACCAATTGCGTTATCCACGGGATAGAGTAAAGATTTTCATCCGGTGGATAATGCTATCCAACTTTTGAACATCGGGGCCTGGGTGTTTTAAAAAACATTATTATGTTTTCGAGTTTCGTTTTTGTGCATCGAGGATCCCAAAAACGATTGCAATCCGGTATCCATGTTCCACTGACAAAAGATCCCGGCGAAATCCGGTGCTTGGAATCCGGAATCCACGGCGTGGAATCCAGAATCCAAGATGGCCATGGATTCCCTTACATGGGGCGAATTTTCTTTCCCAATGTCTGAATTTTGATATAAATGCGTGACACAGCTCCTTTAAGTACAGCCTGTGTTCTCACTCAGCAACTTTTGCACGAGCCATTTTTTTATGGCGAATGAGGCCGAATAATTTTCCTCCATTGTTTAACTTTATTTGTTACTACATCATATATCCAAATTTACACTAAGAAGCTGCTCTTAACTAAATATTTTTGTTTCCTTTTACCTTCTTTCCACCTCATCCAGGGGCGTATCCAGGATTTTTCCTAGGACGGGGTGTACCACTAAGGAATGGCTTAACTGACTAGTGAAGAAAACAAATCATAAAAGCGAATACGAAGAAGGCTTTTGATTAGTCAATAACATAAAGTGAACTGCTGAGAGTACATATCATACATATCTGCTTACTTTGCAGAACGAAAGCCGCAGGTCATCTCGGCNCCAGCCTCAGCACCCCTAGATCCACCCCTGTTCTCGGATCAAGAAAAAGACAAAGCCGGGCTTTGTTCGTAGGGTGTGGTCTTTTTGGTTCGTCAGGAGGAGACGAACTACTCGATGCCATGCAGTATTTCCTTTATTGAAATTGATATTTTTGTACTATTAGTTCGCCAGGCCAAAGCACCCTCAGTAAACTATATTTACATGTATGTACATATTCAAATAAGCAGGGGCCTTCAGTTTCAGTTGAGTTTCAGCCTTTGAATGTCCGTCGTTAGACGTAGGCCTTTCCCATTGACCTCCACTGGACCACGTTTTGCGCAGTACGATGCCAGTGTTTTACCAAACTCTCTAAATCGTCCCTCCATCTCGTCCTCGGTCTTCCTTGGTTCCCTGTGTGTCCCTGGGGCGTCCAGAACGTAATGAGGGGTTGTCCAACGGTTTTCTGTTCTTCTCGCCACATGACCAGCTCAATTCAATTTGAGTTTGCTTATCGTTTCCATAATATCTCGTACTTTGATTTTTTCTCGACTCATTGATCGTTTCTGCCAACTGCCAGATACGAACTGAAACAGCGCCTCGGGCGGATATCTCTAATACGAGGTGCTTCATTAATGAGAACATGAGTCGGTTGCTTTTGAACTTGAAGTGGTTGCTAAGTATGACTTTCAATTGAACCTATTAGTAGAATCACTTTCTTGGAATATATGAAAATTAAAGAGAAGAGAAAGGTTTGGAGCTAACAATTAGCAGGCCAGAACAGCGACGGCAACGAGAAAATCATAGCAACGGTAGTTAGTTTCTGGTTTTGAGGTTTGCTAGCGTATCCTTAACTTTATTGTGATTGGCCAGTACACAATCAACATTCCTGTAATTTTTCAGGTGTTCGCGGTTTTCTGAGTTTGACAGTAAGAAGTGAGAGCCTCTCATTATTACAAAGGTGACGAAAGCTTACAAGAACTAGTCAACAATAGGAACTTCTACTGTTTTCCAACTAAAAAATTTTTCGTAAAATTTGTTTTTCTAAAGCTTTAGCTTTTTATATATATGTATATATGCAATGTATTTTAAACTTTTTGTTTTTCAGGCAAAAGAGGTATTGACATTTCAACAAGTATTTTTATTGGCCTTAAAACGCTACTGCACTTTTGTAGCGAGTAAATCTAACTTCATTAAACCTATTAACTAACTTATGAAGTGAAACTTAGAACTAATGTTAACTGTAACAACATTAAGAAACAACATCATGCATGCTAAGGCAGAGTCAAGTGACGCCGTGTGATTTATAACTGGTTTTCAGTTTTTCCTTTTTTTTTTTCTATCTACTGGTGCTAAGTTCATTGCTTGTAATCTTTGTTACCAATGAATTGTTCATGGGACATCCTCAGAGACCTAAGAGCAGTCAGCTGGTTTGAGCGAAAATGCGCAACGAAAGTTTTTAAGTACGGACAGAAGTCGAGCCCCTGGGTACTGACTCTTACCCAATTCCAGAAGGTCATGCGAATGCTGACTCCTGATTGGGCACAAAATATCCTTTGCATTGTTGTGCCCAATCGGCAAACAGCATCTTCTGAGTTCTTTTCGTCTATTTGTACACCAGGGCTATTGTCCAACCATACTTGTCCCTTTCGTTTACCAAAGTTGAACATGCAAGCGGGAAAAATCATATTTTCTACTTTCCTAACCAAATACGAAGTAGCTACCGATGACTCACGAAAACGTTTCGGATGCTATTAGCAGGACCATTACAATTTGCAGCGAGACAATTCTGTTTCTGTCAAATCTCAAGGTATCGTAAATAATATTTACAAAGGAGTGACCGATGAAAGCTTGAATACGTTTGAAAGCTCAAGCTTGTATTTTTGGAACAGCGTCTTCATAATACCCTAACAAAAGTGACCGCCATGCTTGCCGTCTCGCTTAGGACTGTAAATGGCAGATTTTGGTCTCAATGAGGATGTTTGGGATGAAAAGTTACAATATTTGCCCATTTAGGTATGGCTTAGGGCTGTGCATAGTGCACCTATCAATGTTATGCCGGCGGGGGAGGGGGGGGAGGCAGGGCATGGGGTGGGCATTTGATTGTCTTTGTTGGCCCTGGGGTAGGGCATTTGACTGATCTTGTTCTCCCAGGGGAGGGGATATTTGAATCTTTCTTCGCCCGACGAGGAGATATTTGACTGCCGACTCGGACGAAAAAGACTGAGACCGAACATATGTTTCCCACTCCCACTCTTCACGCATGCGCCGTACAGTCTGGAAAGATCTGGAAATCATGGAGGCCAACAAGAGCAAGCGAAAGCTGGGTGGATTTCACTATTTTGTCTCCAAATTTTCTTTTGTTTTAGCGTGTTTTTGATCAATTGAACCTCTTAAGATACTGTGGTTTCAAAGCAACCAAGTGGATTTTTGCAAGTACAATTGATCAGTGTATGGCTCATTTGCTACAATCACTGTAAGTTTATAACAATGACTTTCTTTGTACCCTTTACTAAGTACGGTATATTTAAACTTACAAAATATGGACTTTCTCCTGAAAGTTTCTGTATTCTACGCAGTGTAACACGGATTATGGTTAAAACGTATAATTGCAGCTGTAACAGGAACATGTATGTTTGGTGACGCAGCAACGTAATATAAATAAACATTTCAGAGTTTTATTTGGAGATATTTTTATTGTGCCTTTCTCGGGTCCAGCCTTGGGATATTTGACAGCGCAATGTGCAGCCCGGGGTGGGGAAATTTGGTTGCATCTGACTGGAAAGATTTGCCCGTGGGCAGGGAATTTGACTGCAAATTTTTGAAAAATGTCAAATCCCCACCCCATGCCCTGCCTCCCTCCCCCCCTCCCCTTGCGCCGGCTTTACATTGATAGGTTCATAGGAATTTACAAAAAATGCCACAACACTGACCACACAGAAACAAAAAAAGAACACGAGATTCCTATACCTAGCTCTTAAAAAAAAGTAAAAGGTAAAGCAACCATATTTTACGTCGATAACTCGTGACAGTAAGAACTGATAAACTTGAGGTCGACGGTGCGCTCATTTTACCCCCTCTCTCCATCAATGCTCCGTTTTAAGAGTATTTAAAGCTAATCAAAGCTACACTAAAAGGAGACAAGTTGAAACAAGGATGTGGTGTCGACCGGGATCGAACTCGGGACCTCGCGCACCGAAGGCCGCGCACTAACCAACTGTGCCACCGTTGGTCCTATAGATGTCTGATGTAGTATGATCTCCTTTAGGGGTCACTTTAAGCCTGAGCTATAGGGTTTGAGATCTACAATATCTATAGGATCTACAGGATCCATAAAATCCACAAGATCTATAGCGTCTACAGGATCTATAGATCTAAAAAATCTACAGGATCTACAAAATCTGTAGGATCTACAAGATCTATAGGATCTACAGGATCTATAAAATCTTCAAAACCTATAGTATCTACAGGATCTATAGGATCCATAAAATCTACAGGATCTAAAAAATCTATAGGGTCTGCAAAATCTACAAGATCTGTAGTATCTATAAAATCTACAGGATCAACAAACTCTGTGGGATCTACAAAATCTACAGGATCTACTGTTACTATATCTATTTGTGACTCAGGAGTATATTTAGGGACACTGAATTCCGCGACATGCTTACACTTAGAAAGATCTAGTTTATCTAAGAGAATGCCAAGGTTGTCCACGCAATGTTTCGTGTTGGTTGGCTTTCTTGCTCGGAAATTAAAAAGTTTATAACCTGGAACCCAGAAACTTTGAATATCTTTGCGAACCACGCTACTTCGAATCCTTTCCAAAATGCTCTTGACTCGTTTTCCTAGTTGATTTTTGGTCCAATATGAATCTTCCGGGAAATCAGTCCATTCCCTTAACAACATTGTCTTTAACACGTACGAATGGAACACCCATGTTATGTGGAAAGACGCCAACTCGTCACCAGGGCTTTCAAAAAGACATAAAAAATCCTCATTTTCCTTCCGCAACACCTTGAGAACCTTAAGCGTCACCTTATGAATGAGTTTCGGATTCTTGCAGATGTGCTTGAGCATAACTCTTTCGGGAATTGAAAATGATAAACGCCAACATGGCCGAGGCTTGCCGGATTCTCCAATAGTTGACGCCACGAGATGATAGCCCTCAGCTACAGCCTCTCTGAACGCTTCATATCCAGGGTGACCCCTGCTGACTCGTTCCTTTATATCTGAAGCGTCCGGCCATCCTGACATTTTAATACACAGAGTTAAATCTACAGCTACTTCATAGTTCGAGTACTTCTTGCCATGCCATCTAACCTTGATCGTTATCGGGATTTTCCTGAGCTGAATATTGACATATTCATCTAACTCATCCCTGGAAGACCGCTCTTGATTAGCTATGGCTTTCTAGACTAGTTGTTTAAATCTTCTCAAGAGAACATCAGGTTTGAGATTTCCTCGCCTGGAAATGTACCTTTGCCACCGATTACGATAATCTTCGTTGGACAGTTGAACATCTACGTAGCCGGGATCGGGGACCGGTCTCATGGGAATATCCTTCGTAACACACACACCAGGAGAGGAAAGCTGCTCTAAACAAATCATAAAATCGAATTCATCGGGTCCTTCGACTTTAAGATCTTCATAAAAACTTCCGCTGGGGATTACAAAGTTTTTAAAAAGTGGATCCTCGCGGCCTATGTAGGCAGAGATTTCGTCAACTAAACGTCTAATTCTTTTCTCGATTTTCTTTACCTCCTTGTGCTCTCTATTAAACTCTGCTTTTTTGTAAAGGCGTTGCAATTCATCGTCCCCGAAGTTGCGCGTCATTTTGAATCACGCACAAAGTACAAACTTAAAGCTGACGATCGCTTCCGGGTATGTAATGTTGAGCCCGCAGTCAATTTTACCAGCGGCCGTTGCAAGAAGTCTGAAGTTACTTGAAGTAACAGTCATTTGGCCATGACACAAGCACCCAGCCGCCGTCGTTATGGGTTAATCAACTCGCAAACGACAATGCTTATGCAAAATTTTGGAGTGACCAACAAAGAGTATTATGGTATGTTATGGTATTTTCTGAAGTGGTCAAGTCAGTGGTCAATAGAAAGCTTTCAGCTTCCTACCCAGGCCAGTTGGCGCTATCCGGGTCCGAGTGTGCAGAGGCGGCTT